ATGACCGGAACATTCAGGTACACGTAGTCACCAGGTTTGTAGTGGAAAAAGGGGGACCTTTGAATCACCAAATGAGTCACCTGGATTTCAAAAGAAATAACATGGGGACACTTTTGTGGTGTCCTCTGGTAGGGATTCACTGGACAATTAGGCAGAAACCATTGTTCCTTTTCTAGTCTCACCAGCAAGTTATACACGCTGAGACCCATTTCCGTTGACTTTACCATTGTGGAACCCACCTTGGAGGGAAGAAGGTTGACCTCCACAATGTACAAGCCACCGACACGTGACAAAGCAGCTGCAAAGGCCTTCTCTCCAAGGAAGAGAGATCCAGGGATCACAAACCACTTCCAGAAATTAGCACCGTGAACAATCAGCAAAGCCCAGATGGGGACGTAGAAAAGGTGAGTCCAGTAGAAGACCTGCTGGTGAGAAAGGAAGAGCAAAATGGTGACTTTCTGAAGAGCAAAGGGAAATTAGACCAATGACTAAACAAAAATAAAATGCCGTTATTTGCCCTTATTCCAGAGAGGGACATGCAGGATATAAAAACATCCCAAACAAAATCCTCTTTCTTTTCTACCTGTGGTACACGGGCAACATAGGTGAAAGGGGGCAGGGCTTTGAGCAGCCAGGTGCAGCTTCCTCCAGTGGCTGCTGATCATTTCAGAATCAGAAAAAGGACATGATAGGCTCACGTCGTGTAAGGTTCTTTCTGACATACTTTCTGTGCTTTTAGAAGGGAAAAACAAAATAAATACATAAAAACAAAACATAAATGTAGTCTGGAAGGGAAAACAAGACATTTTTCAAAGCAAACACCTCAATTTTATTATGGTTCGTCACACAGTCAGCCAGCTTGTGTGAAGTGACCATTCAAAGTTACAATGGCACTGAAACAAGTGACTTATGACCGTTTTTCACACTTACGACTGTTGCAGCATCCCCACAGTCACGAGAGGCCAGGCGAGGAGATGCGTGCTTCGATGTGAGTGATATTGAGTTGGCCACGCCCAGCCAGTCACATGACCACCAAGCCATATCCACCCAGTCACATGACCACGCCCACCACCCAAGCCACACCCACAGAACTGGTTGTTAAAATTTTTGAATCCCACACCTGAGTGGTAGCTATTTATCTACTCACGCTTGCATGCTTTGGAACTGCTAGGTTGGCCGGAGCCAGGGCGAGGATGGGAGCTCACCTCATTGTGTGGCCTTTGGGTCTCGAACCTGGACTGCTGGCTTTCCAGCCAACCAGCCCAGCGTCTTAACTGCTGAACCTCCGTGCCAGCCCTTTGCAGGATGGAAAAAGGGGCAACATAAGCAAAGGAAGCAAGGGGAGGCTGAGCAGGTCACCTCAAAATGGCCACTCCTGCGGACCAGGGTGGTGGAACACACGAGCATCAGGGAGATGAGGAGCTGCAGGAGGAGACCCGTAAGAGAGGCAGTTCCACGAATCCATCCAATGCCAGGCCGGGTGGTGAAAAGGTATTCCCAGAGATGATACCCTCCTTGGGCCTGAGACAGCCTCGCTGTGGTGAAGGGAAAGGCTGGATAAGTGACTCCCGAAAACAGTCTTTGGCATCATGATGACAATTTGCACGTAAGCAGTTTTTCACTGAGTCATTTAAGCCAGGGGTCCCCAACCACCGGTCCGCGGACCGGTACCGGTCCGCGGAACAACTCCTACCGGGCCGCTGGAAACAAAGCAATTAATAGAAAAGGAAACAAAATCTAGATTTTTAAAAATAATTCAACCTCTGAACATTAGCTTTGATTTGAATATAAGTGACCAAGCGGTAGTAGTCCTCAATTTACAACAGTTCATTGAGTGACCATTCAAAGTTACAACAGCCATGAAAAAAGTTACTTATGACCTTTTTTCACACTTATGACCATTGCAGCATCCCTGGGGTCACATGGCCCAATTTTGGATGCTTGGCAACTGACTCGCAGTTATGACGATTGTGTCCCAAGGTCACGTGATCCCCTTTGTGATCTTCTGACGCAAAGTCAATGGAGAAGCCAGATTCACTTAACAACCGTGTGACTAATTTAAGAACTGCAGTTATTCACTTAAGAACGGTGGTGAGAAAGTTTGTAAAATGGGGCAAAGTTCACTTAACCACTTTCTCGCTTATCAACATAAATTTTGGGCTCAGTTATGGTCATAGGTTAAGGATTACCTGTACCAGGTACGCTACTAAGAGTCAGTGACAAATGTGGAAAGAGGCCCCAGCCATTGAACTAGATCACAGGTCTCCAAACTTGGCAACTTTAAGCCTGGCGGACTTCAACGCCCAGAATTCCCAAGCCAGCTTTGCTTTGCTGGCTGGGGAATTCTGGGCGTTGAAGTCCGTCAGGCTTAAAGTTGCCAAGGTTGGAGACCCCTGATCTAGTGCAATGGCCTGACATTGAAAACAGCTCACAAACTACAATTAATAGTCTAAAAACCACATGCTGGGTTGCTCAGGTATGCTGGCTCCTGGTCCCTTTTTGGTCCCAAATTCAGAATGCTGTTTCTGACTATTAAAACCTTCATGACTTTAGGACCAGGTGCTTAAAAGCTTTGCTGGCTGCCAGTCAAACATATTACTAAGGGGACAGATGACATCTTAGGTGAGACTTCTTTGTGATGGCACCATAAGCTGCAAAATTAGTCTCTAGTCGGATAGACAACCTTGTTTTTGGAAAAAAATTCAGACACAACATGAACTTGCGTTGTTTTTTTTTTACATTTGTGGTTTTTAGTCTGGGGATATTTATTTTTCTATTTATATTTTAAATGTGTAACACTTTTTATAAAGTGCTCTGGCATAGCAATGAAAGCCATTAAATAATAGAAGAAAAACAATATGAAACAGAAAAGTTGAGCAGCATTTACCAAAATTGATGATGTGAGCTCCCGTGTGAAGGAGAGTTAGAGCCCCCACCATGTAGCCCATCAGCTGATGCAGGACGAGGTTCAGGTCCAGGGGCAAAACTTTGGCTACCCAGGTGGTCCTTAGCCAAGTCAGAGATCGGCGTAACATGAGGACCTGGGGACGGGAGATGGAGGGTGAGAAAAGAGCTGAATTGGGGGCCAACAATGCGTCAGTTAAGATATTACAGCAGAGTAGGGAAATAACCTTGAAAAATAAATGTACAATAGCAGGGGTCTCTAACCTTGGCAACTTTTTTAAGACTTGTGGACTTCAACTCCCAGAATTCCTCAGCCTCTCTTTCAACAAGGTTCCTAGACTGACACCTCTATGGTTTCATCTCTCTTAGCTGTATTGTTGTAACCAGTAGAAAATCATAAAACAGAAATCCAACCTAGAAATAAGGAGGCATTTCCTGACTGTGAGACCAATTAACAAAAGTTGCAGATGATACCAAATTGTCAGGAATAGCCAGCACTCAGAGTATGTACTGTATAAAAATTAGCTTTGAGCAATATTTCTCAGACTTGGTAACTTTCGGGGAGTTGAAGTCCGCACTTCCGATTGAGAAACAGAGGCTCAGAGCAAGAGAATATAAAAACTAAAACATATAAAAACATATATAAAATTAGAAAATATAAAAAATATTTTTAAAAACCATCAATGTAAAAACATTGTCGAGACTCTGGAAAGAGTGCAGAGAAAGACAACCAGGATGATGAGGGGACCGGAGGCTAAAAGATAGGAAGAACGGTTACAGGAACAGGGCCTGGCTAATTTAATGAAAAGGAGGACCAGGGGTGACAGGAGAGCAGCCTTCCAATATTTGAGGGGCTGCCACAGAGAGGAGGAAGGGGGTCAAGCTGTTTTCCAAGGCACCTGAAGAGGAGGTTGTTAAAGAGCGGTTCAACCTAGAATTAAGGGGAAATTTACTGTCAATAAGAATAATTAATCAGTGGAACAGCTTGCCTCCAGCTTGCCTTTTGAGTGGTCCATCACTGGAGGTTTTTAAAAAGAGATTAGACAGCCATTTGTCCGAAATGGTAGGGTCTCCTGCTCAAGCAAGAGGTTGGACTAGAAGACCTCTAAGGTCCCTTCCAACCTGTTATTCTGTGTTCTATGTTTGGAAGCCAACCCACAAGCTCAGAAAATGAACCTTCACCCTCACAGTATTCTATGTGTGGTCTTACTAGTGCAGTATGTGAAACTAACACTTCTTCACATGTCAACTAAAAAGATACTCCTTTGGTCTTTTTAGCTGCCAGAAAAAGGGAG